TTACAGACTTGAATCAAGATGGTTTTATGGACATTGTTATAGCGTGTTATGGCACAGACAATGTAGAAATTCTACTAAAAAGGTGTTAATATGGATGTCACTGTGAGACTTGTATTCTAATTTTCTCTGACTTTCTTTTACAATATCTTTTCTAATAATCATATGATATTTAAATGGCTACTTGAGAACTAAACAGTAGAAGGGTGTGGGTGTGGGTGGGTGTGGGTATGGGTGTGGGTGTGGGTGTGGGTGTGGGTGTGGGTGTGGGTGTGGGTATGGGCGTGGGTGTGGGTATGAGTGAAGAGGAATGATGTCTACACTCACACCCCACACCCACACCCACCCACACCCACACCCACACCCTCAAGTTTTAATAATTCAATCAACAAATGTATGTTAATCTGAATATTTTATAGTCTTTGGACCATTAATTAACATTTGAACATATTGATATTCTTCTCCTGGATGAAATGTAAAATGATTCATTTTGAGACGATATGAATTATCTTCCAATCAATGCATATGTAATTTTTCAATAAAATATTCCAAATAATCGCCTTCCGAAAGATCATCACATATAAACACAAAATCATTAATATAATCAAATTGATCTATTATATCCATCATCATATCTTTTGAATTAATTGAAATTTCAAGAGTTTTAACATTTAGTATTGATATTGATTCTGAATCACCTTCTAATCTAAGAATATGAATTGGTGATGGTATAACAAATAATGAATTATATTTCGTTGTAAGAGAATTCAATCGAAGAAGATGTTTTATTAATTTATTAAGTTCATGTCTTGATAAAGATTTGATGCAATCAACAAGAAGTTTTTCTATCTGATTAAAATCTATTATTGTTTGAAGAATATCTAATGGCGTAAGTAAGATACAGCTAATGCAAAAGTCGAGCAGATATTAGATTTCGTTGAATCATATACCAATGAATAGAGCTTGTAAAGCTGCTTAAGAATATGTATGGTTTTTACTTTTTTAGATCGTACTTCAGACGAGAAATGTAAAGAAAATTAAGTCCCTCTACAAAAACAAAAAATAGGAGTTTTTCATAAAGATTACAGATCATTCCGGCTAGTATTGATTATTCTTCAGTGAAACTGTTTTATTTGAATTCAGCATGAAAAACTATAGTAGTTAGATGATTTTGATGAAATTTGATCGTTGTAGTCTGATTTGACTAGTTTGACAAGATTCACTATCGACCGAACTAATTCATCTAGCTTGCCAACGTCGGTAAAGTTAGCACCATCTTCGGCTATTATTGTCGCGATTCGTTATACTGCTTGAGTTGAGTCTTAATCCAGTTGAGCTAGTGCAGAATTTGATGCTGAATCGAATGCTTTTATTTCCGAAAGTTTCATTTCAGATACTTTGTTTTATTTTAGTTTATTTTTTTCGTTATACCAAGGAAAAAAATAGATAGTTGTATTTAGCAATATTTACTGTCGAAGCTTTAAATCATCTTCTTTTTGAAAACTAGCTCTATTTATGAATATCAAGTTTTCTTGAAAAAACTGTTGACCATTGATTAATGAATAATTCATAACAGAAGAGTGATGTTTTTATAAGAAACGAAACTTCTAGTCATATTTTTAACTTTTCGCTTGTGTTACTCTAGCCAAAAGTAACACTACATCGACGCCTTGTAAAGAAAAGGACAGGTTGTTTTGAAGGATTTGAAAAATTCAATCTATTGTTTCTGTTGAAAATTGTGTACGGAAAAGTTTGATTTAGTTCTTTGTTGTCATCGAAGGTAGAACGAGATCGTTCTATATGTTCAAACATAATGATAAGAGTACTTATTTTGACTGTATATTCTTCTTTTGCTCTCCGATAGTTCTATCGAAGGCTCGATTTCTTCATTTCGGAATTAAAAAAAATAAAAATAAAAATACCGATTAGATATTTCTGGATAATAATTAAAGATTTCATCTAGTCGTTTTATCAAGTTATTCAATATGATCAGTCAAATCGGTCTAATTTCATTTTATTTTATGGTTTTGAGAATCAACTACAATTGATGTATTATCTCATTTTGATAATGATCAATGACTTACAACATTTTAATCAGCTTGAATTGTCGTGAAAGATATTGTAAGAATAATCAGTGTTTTTGCTCAGTATATTAGTAACGATTCGATACTAGATAATGGACAGACTGATCATGCAAGACGTCACATCATTGTTCTTTTTCTGACGTTTATTTTCAAACTACCAATGATTAATTCCTTGTCGTGCTGATCGTCATCCATCGATTTTTTTAAGGGAATATGTGAGTCAAATTTTGATTGATCGAAATTATTATTTTATGATATTTATCGATTAATAAAGATAGTTCTATCTTATTCATATTTGTACGATTATTATTCAACTGATATCAAACAATTTATCCATTTGTTAATCGAAATTTTTTGATTCTCAGTTTGATTAAGATATGAAAGTTGATTTGTCATCGGTTTAAGTTTATGAGCGAGAGAAGAAATCGATGATTGACGATACTTATTTCTAATTCGTATTTTCTGAATGATTGCTGATGTTTGAATTATTCGTTCGAGTATAATTGTTTCTCTCTCTTCAGGAGGTTCTAATATCAATTTCCAATCGATAGGAATATACTATAACAATAAACGATATATTAATGATGTCGACTCTTTCTAGATGACGTCAGTAAAATTAACACTCGATTCAATATTTCTTGTCCCGATTCGCTCAGTCATCTGTGCTATTCTTCTATTTGATTGTGTCAGATGCAAAATTGAATTTTACCTCTATCCCAAGTGGTTTGAGAGATAACTCAACTATTACAGCGAATCGAGACAGAAAATACTTTGAAATCTACCACAAAAATTAGTGTTTGGATTACAAGAGGAGTATTTTTGGTCGGTAACCTTTCTCAAAATTGGCAGCATTCGATTCAGAATCAAAACCTGCAGCTAACCCAAGTAATTTGAAAAAATAGCTCAAGTAGTTGTATAGCGAATTCGGACAAAAAAAGCCGAATCTACTGTTAATTTTACTTACGTTAGAATTAATTAATTTAAAAATCTCTTGAAGCATTTATTTTATTATTACAAAATAAAATTAAATATCAGATGTTGATTTCGGCATTTCTTTTATTTATTTTAATTAAAAATAAAATTAATCAGTCAAAGATTAAGTGGTAAAAACATATCTTGCCAATATTTTCTACCAACAATAAAAAGTAAACTAAATTCTTCACTAGGTGCTTTATTAGGACGAATATCTATGATGACGTTGATGACTCGCATTGAATTTGGTTTGGAGCTGTACTCGATATCTTATTGCATTCTAAAAAGAATATCGTTGGTAGATAATTTAATCCATCGTGTACCGTGAAATAAATAAGTCCATATAATATTATTCTAAATCCTATTCCAAGATATAACAATTGTGAGGGTATGGACCAATCAATATAGATTCATATAAATATGTCATTAAGTTCTAAAGTCGAGTGAAGAGGAGTATGTCAGTTTTATTTGCTGACGCTGTTACTGCAATAATTGCTGGATAGATGGGCTTAAAATATGCTGATCAATGTATCAATTTAGAAAAAAGATTGGTGACGTTTTTTGACTGTCTAGAATATTACTCTGTTTTGTCAGTACAGCCAATCAATTATAAAAAACACACATTATGTGGACAGCTCGTGCTGTCAGTTATCTTAATCCAATGCCTATACTTAAATGTGGTGAGTATATTATTAGTTGGACAAACCAATTCAAATATCTGAGATATTGAATTTCCACCAAGCTAGGTTGGCCACCACTTATTAATCAGATGCTGATAAAAATACGTCAAAGAACGACTTTAGTGAATATTGGTAAATATGCAGGAGTATCTTGTAATGTTGTTCGTTGAATCCTATTTTCTACTTTTGTATATCCTTTATTTGCTTGGTTATTTGCAGTATTTTCATTATTTACTTTTAGTCAACAAATAGATCTGTCACATATGTATAATACATGCTTGAAAAGAGTATACCATTGTCTTCATTGGTGCTCCAGACACAGTATGATCTCATCTATTCCGGCCATTGACTGTAATGATATAGGTGTTTTTGCTCATCTTTCGGAAACTTTCTAATATTAATGTTATGTGTTCTGTCTTTCCTCTTTTCTGACTTCTAGTTTGGTGTTCAGTGGGATAATGTATGTAATAGTAGACGCGGATGTGTGATGGCTTGAGACTACTCTATTCTCCCTAATTTGTCATGATGTTATTGAATCCTGTCTTTGACCTTTAATTATTATTCATTCATTTATTGATTTTATTGATCTTTCTTTCTTTTTCATTTGTATTAGTTCTTTTTCCTTTCACTTTTTCTTCTCATTGTATTCTCTTATTGTTCTCCTATTTAAATATTGTAAAAGAAAGAAATTTGTCATTAATGGTGTCCCTGTAAGACCTAGGAGGGTTAGAGGATAATAAATGCATACAAGCAGAAAAATGAGGGT